TGAACTTTCATTTCATTTTGGAGAAATAAAGCAGAGAAATTGAGATCCCTGAGCTCTAAAAGAGGAGCTCACCTCCCTCTCCAGGTGCCTGTGTTGGTGGCCCAGACACTCCTTTCACAAGGACATGTTTTAGTAGGATGGCAGCAGCCCAATTACTGAGGGTACACATGAGCTGGGCAGCGATTTCCCACCCTCAGCATAAAACTTTTTCAACCCCACTTGATGCAGTTGATGGGACACAAACATGAGCATCTGTATCCCTGTATTTTGAGTTTGGGACTGTGGGGTTGCCTCAAATGAGCAGGACTGGGCTTTAACATTTCTCCTTTGCCTCTCCACCACAAAAACAAGAATTAAAAAAACCTTCTCCCTTGGTTTTAATGGAATCCATGTGCATTCTTCAAGTAGGAATTGCCCCTGTGTGGAAACTAGAAGGCCTTCAGAAAAGAGGTAAAATGCACACACACATCTTAAATATCTAGCAATGCCTTCCTATAGGATGAAAGCTCCCCAGAAAAGCTGAAGAAGAAATCCATTTAATAGCTCCTGCACTCCTTCCTCCCTCCTGGAGTGCCAGTTGTGTGCTGAGACAACCTTGTCCTGATGAAAGCAATTTCACCTGCTGCTGTGACACTCATTTTTTTAATCTGGAGAGTGGCTCCTTATGGCAGCTCTGACTCAATTAAGGATTACAGGGCCCTATATTTCCCTTTCCTGACAATGTGTGCTAAGCAAGTGCAAATGAATTACAGCCCAATTATTTCCCCCGATCCCTAATGAGCCTGGGTGCATCCATGCACCGAGATCTATGGGACAACTTAAAGAGAATGAAAAAACACAGCCGTGCTCTGCTTTTGGCATCTGGCCCTGTTTTTTATACATGCAAATCGAGTTTCCTGTTCATGGAACACAACCAAGCAAAACACCATGTCACCAACACAGTCCTCCCACTGCTCCTTCTCAGTGATCTGCTCTTCCACAGGGTTCCTGGAAAGCTTCTGCTCCCAAGGGTGGTGGGGAAATAGCAGAACACACTGGGGCATCCTCTGAGGGGCTCTCCTGGTGCTGCAGCTTCATCTCCACCTGTGTAAAACGTGGGGGCCATGTGCTGGCCTCTCCCTTCCTACTCATGTTCCTCCTGTCCCTTCTCCCCATGTCCCCAGCACCATCTTTAGTGCTGTATCATCACCTCTTATTCACAGGAGTTTTGGCACATTCATACGTTTGGTGGGGTTTTTTCCTGCTTTCTGCCTCTGTCTCTCCTTTACTGGCTCATTTTTTTAGAAAAAAAAAGTGCATTTTGTCTGTTTGAGAGATGCCAGTTCTGGTAAAGCCACCAAGGACTGAGGCTCTCCCTCCCTTACCCCCAGTACTTCATTATTTATGACACACCAGCATCTCCCAGGTTGTCCTCAAGCAAGTTGGACAATTCCTCAGAGCTATCAATCCCTGAGGGCTTGAAACTGAAGCTTAAGTTGGACAATTCCTCAGAGCTATCAATCCCTGAGGGCTTGAAACTGAAGCTTAAGTGGGACAATTCCTCAGAGCTATCAATCCCTGAGGGCTGGAAACTGAAGAGTGAAAGGCCTGAAAAGAGGAAGAGCAAAAGTGTTCCTTCCTCTTGGCTCGTCCGATCTCATCCTGGACGCCAGCGGCTTTTCCAGTTGTGTGTCCTCTGTTGGCTCATGTGGAGCAGGTCATTTCACAGGGGTTTCTCATGGGATCACTGATTCCCGGGGATCCTCGTGTCTCAGTTTGGGATGCTCAGTGCCTGGGGAGCCTCTCACACCAGGGAGAACTCGGCCTGGAAGCCGGAGCAGCGGCGCGTCTTTGGCGAGCACTTGGTCAGCATGGAGATCTGGGTGCTGAAGTTGGTGCCGTTGCTGCCCAGGGAAGGGTGGTGGTACTTCATGTCTGAGCCCAGGAACCGCTCCAGGTGCCACCTCCGCCACTTCCTCTTGAGCTCAGCTTGCACCTGGGCATGGGAAAGAGGAAAGGCAGCACAGGGCATCACTTGGTGTTGTTCACAGAATTCACAGAGTGACCAGGTTGGAAGAGACCTTCAAGGTCATTGAGTCCAACCCAGCCTCAACAGCTCAACTAAACCCTGGCACCCAGTGCCACATCCAGGCTTTGTTAAACACACCCAGGGATGGGGACTCCACCACCTCTCTGGGAAGGCCTTTCCAGAACTTTATCAATATTTCATCACTTTTTCCTAATACCCAACCTAAACTTCCCTTTGTGTAGCTTGAGACTGTGTGTGGCCACATTTCTCTTCCCAGAGAAAAGCAAGGCACAACTTCCCAAGGATATTTCTGGGAATCGCAGCGAGGAACCTCAGAGAAAAAAAAAAACATTTATCTCAATTGCTGCTCCTCTTGTTCATAAGTGGAATGCACTGTGGAAGACATTGTTTACCTGAAGGGAATTGGTAATTAGATTCTGGTGTGAGTGTTTTGATTCATTGGCCAATTGAATCCAGGTGTGTGTGTTGGGACTGTCACTGACAGTCAGGAGATGCTGTGCAGTTGAGTTGAGTGTTTGGCAGATTCAGTTTAGATGTAATGAAATATAGTGTAATATAGTATAGAATAATATAGTATAATAAAGTAATTAATCAGCCTTCTGATATCTGATACCACTTTCCACATGCATTCATTCTGTCCTAGCTGCAAGCATTAACCAAAAAACCCTGATGGTCTGGTCTTACCTCTCCATTGAGAAAGCAGTACAGCACAGCCACCACAAACCCCTGGGGAAAGGAGAAAACAGGATTTTAGCACTGCAGACAGAGTGTAGATCCATTCATCTCCCAAAGGAGAGATCACACAACCACAGGATTGTTCAGGTTGAAAAGACCTCTGAGGTCATCAAGCCCAACCATTCCCCCAGCACAGCCAAGTCCAGCCAAGACTGGCCCATGTCCCCAAGTGCCACAACTGCACAGCTTTTGAACACTTCAAGGTGCCAGATGTGCAGTAATGATGATGCTGACAGGGTTGTTAATAATTCACCACTGAATGAAACTTGCTGCTCAGAGCCCCATCCACCCTGGCCTTGGACACATCAATGACACAAAATCTGAACTGAGGTGTTTATTTTTCTCCCTTAAGTACAAAAAACCACAGAGACACCAATGTACAGAGGAACATTTTCTTTTCATTTCCTAAAATGAGGGAAGAGAATCTCCTTCTGGAAGGCAAAATATAAATCTATCTTTCATCCTGGCCAGGCTGGAGTGAGTAGATTTTCCACAAAGGTACAAGAGCAATATGGGGCATGTCCAGAATAAACCCATGCACAGCTCTTGGCATTTCTCCCTGGTGACAGACCTGGTGACCCAAATGGTGCCTTACCTGGAATGACCCAACCACGAGCTCAAAGACCAGCTTCACTTCTGCTTTGAAATTGTCAGGGAAGAAAGCAAACATGATGTAGTGAATGCCAAAGAGAGGGATCAGCAGCAGAGTGGACTTGGCCAGCCTCCTGTTGGAAAGACAAACATGAGCCACCAGGGGAGAGGGAAGAGGGGAAGAGGCTGAGGAATCCTGCAGCTGAGCCCTGAAATAAACCCTGAAAATTTATTATTTCTCCTTGTCCCACAGACTGCAGATGGCTGGTGATTTCAGACCTGGTGGCACCATAAAATGTGACATTTTTATTCCCAGTAGCTCCACTGGAGGTATTTCTTTCTCCCTCCTCTCTTCTTCCCCTCCCACCAGAGATCTTTTATTCATCTCCACAAGCTAAATCATCATCTACCAATGTCTTTGTTTGCCTGGGATTTCTGAAAATTACAGCTTCTGGGAGAGAAATGGTATGTTTAGCTGGGAATAATGACAGGCTACTGCACAATGAATGTCTCCAAAGGAGGGGGATGAACAGTATTAGTGCTTAATGGCATCATGCTGGGTAATCAGGGGTTTAATTAGGAAGAGATGATAATGCATTAAATGCAATCATTATTTGAAAAGTAGCTGGCAGAAAGAAAATGAAATCAAGGGTCTAAGGATGCTTGTGGGGGTTTTGTCTCCCTTGGTCACTTGTATCCTGTGACATCTCCCTCTCTCTCAGAGGTTTCTGGAGGGAATAAGGCTGGGATGTTGGAAATATTCATTTGTCCACCTGCAACCACTCCACCTCCAAAGCCTTATCAGGCTCAGACCTCTCAGGCCATCTTCATTTATTTGGCACCTGCAGGAGCCCACTGGGAGGCTGATGTGGCAGCTTTGTGCAGAGGATGCTCATCCCTGGGCCTCCCAGAGCTCCTCTGTAGCTCTCCCTGGCTCTCCTCTCAACATTAAGGCTGAGATTGGAGGCTGTGGCTCATCCCAGCAAAATGAGAGCCTGCAGGGAGATGAGGAACTTTACAGGAGTTTGCCTTTCTCACATCCCTCACTAGCAGGCACATCTCTGCTCATGGGGATCCAAAATCTGAGTTCTCCGAGGAACATCAGCCTAGAGGAGGAGATGTGGTGCTACCTTTGTGTCCCACATTGACAGAGATGCTGTTTGCAACCTCCAGTGGATTAGAAAATTTCATCTTATCATTGCAGACAATACTGGGCCCTTAATTACAATATTTTCCCTCCTGGCTGGACTGTGGTGATGAAAAGGACATAAATGACAAAACTTGAGCCCTCTCCTCCAATTTTCACACCTCACACCAGTCTCCTGCTCCCAACACTGAACTTCACCAGATACTGAGTTTTAGATTTTATTTTGGCATCAAGGCAAGGGCTCTGTGATTTTTTAAAAGACTCCACCACCTAAACACTGCACTCAGGAAAATCACGACCCAGTCGCAGTGTCATTTCTCCCATGAAAGTGAAGCCTGGCTGTGCAGGAGGCAGAACTGCTTGGGGGATTGTCTGAAATTGGTTAAATCTGCTGGAAACCATGGATTCTCAAAATCCTTATTACTCTGATTCCCAGCACACCCCAGACCTCTCTTATCTGACAGATCCACCTGGTGACAGGTAATTCTGGGAGAACATGTGTCCATTAACCTGCATGAACCTGCTCCTGTCCTTGGGACTGGGCAAGAGTGAACCAACATTTCAATCATGCTCCTTGAAATCATAATGGAAAAGTTACTCAGAGGAATTTAATGACAATATTGATCCACAGACATGGACAGAATGGAGAGATGAATTTTGCTCCAGTTTTCTGTGGCAGAAGACAAATTCCATTTGCCTGAAATATTGCTGTCCCACTCTTGCACATGTCCCTGTCATTTCCAGAAAACTGCTTTGGGAGACTTGTTTTTACAGCTTCCAGCACATGAAAGCCCAGTTCCCTGCCTGCAGCATTAATGAGGGAGTCAGCAGCACACCTGAACTTCCAGCCTGCAGCTAAGCTCAGACCTTTTGGAGCTGAACAGTGCTGTCAGCAGGCTGTGTGTGTAGAAAATAAACAATATAAAATACACATGAGAAGGGGGGAGAAATGCAAATGAGCTATCCAGGATGTGTTAGTTTAAAACAGATTTGTCTCAGATTTGGCAGGAGGGATGCACACAGAATCACAGAGGCATTTGGTTGGGAAAAACCTCCCAGACCATTGAGTCCAACTGATCCCCACCTGTTCCCAGCCCAGAGCTCTGAATGCCACCTCCAGGCCTTCCTTGGACACCTACAGGGATGGGGAGCCCACAACCTCCCTGGGCAGCCCCTTCCAATGCTTCACAACCCTTCTGGTGAAGGAATTCCTCCTGATGTCCAACTTGAACATCTCCAGCACAACTTGAGGCCATTTCCTCTCATCCTGTCATTTGTTGCCTGGGAGAAGAGCCTGATCTCCATCTGGCTCCAACTTCCTTTCAGTTCCTTCCTTTCAGGGAAATGTGGGGAGCAATAGGGTCACCCTGAGCCTCCTCTTCTTCAGGCTAAACACCCCCAGCTCCCTCAGCATTTCAGCAGCAGTTTTCTGCTAAGAACTGTTGGATCCTGCAGTCAAACCCCAGAAGTCTCCACAGATTTCTGTCTAAAAGTAAAAATCTTGGGACCACACTTAGAACTCACCTTGGTGGGATCTAAACTTAAGTTTCAGACAATTAATATTTGTTTTCCTTGGAGAGTGTGGTGTCTTGTACCTACTGCACTGAATTCAGTCAACAGTTTTCCAGATGTGGCTGGTGGCCAGGTGCCACTGTTCAAGGGGACAAGTGTCCCATAGGTCCTGTGTCCTGTGTGACAGGTCCGTGTAAGTATTGGAAGAGTCCTAAAGCACCTCATGTGCCTTGGAAACCTAAAATTTTAGGGCTAGGTTGGAAAGAGATCTGAGCAACCTGGGATGGAGGAAGGTGTCCCTACCCATGGCAGTGGGTTGGATGAATTTTAAGGTCCCTCCCAACCCAAAATGCGGGATTCTATAATTTTGTGAAGTGAGCAACTGATTAATTCCCTAGGGGAACTGAGCCATCTTTGCAGGTGGTGCAGGAAGAGGAAGATCTGCGGATGTCAGGATCAGTTGTCCTTCAGGAGAAGCCCCTGTAGAGCAGCTCAGTGAGGGGAGCTCTGTGTTTTACCAACATGCCCCACGTTTGTTTACAAGGCAAAAAGAGCTTTCCTGGCAGCTCCACCTCACTGGAAAATGTGTCCTGAACCCAAAGCCCAGCATGACCTCTGAGATAATCTGGGCATAACTCATCAGGTGCACGTTGGCAGCACTTCTGCTGAGGTGAACAGGAGCTAGCAGTGCCAGGACAATGCTCAGTACTAGAAATTATTTAAATATGCTGATTTAATTTATGCACCTGCTGCAAACCTGTGGTGCAAAGATAAAATTCCCAATTGGAAATCCAGAAGGGCAGGTGGTAGAAAGCACAGGGTCTGGTAATGTAGGTGTGCTGTGATGACAGAAAAATAGGTAATTGGCTTTGGCTGCTGCCAGGAAAATTAAAGTCAAAAACTGGCATTTCCTTTCATAAATCTGAGAATCTCTTGAGGTAGATGAAATTAATAATTCACCAAAACCAGAGAGAAAGTCTCAGTGCTGTGGCTGGGCAGGATTTAAGGAACATATTGTTACTTTTTTCCATCCTGCAGGAAGATGAACTGAGATTTTTCAGGGAACCCAAAAGCACAGATCCCTCAGAAGACAAGGATTTACAAGAAGTGACCATGCAGACACTGGACTCTGTTATTGAATTCTTGTCTAGGAAACATTTAATAAATATCCAGGATAGCTGAAAAGCGGAGCCAGAACAGTGGGAAGAGTCAAAAATAACCTGCTCTGGACTTTTATTTTATTTGTATTGAAGCCAGAATAAATCTATGCAAATAGACATTTCTTTCACTCTTAAAATACTGCAGCTGAGACGAGCCTTGGCCACTGAGAGAGATGTTGATCTCTCTGGCATGTTGTTCATTATATAAAGCCCCATTAAGATCAACCTCATATCCCTGGAATAAAAGTATTAAGTCAAGTAAAACTTCTAAGACAGTGATCTTTCTCAACCGAGAAGAGAAATGTATTGAGTTAATCCAATCTTGTTTAGAAATCTCTTTTAGGATGAGGAAAATTTGTCACAGATCTGACTGAATGGTAATTTTCTAGATCTCTCCTTTTTTAAAACTGAGGGTCAGGAAAATAAGCGTGTACACTTGGAAGAGCAACTTTTTTTTTTTTCCATCAAGGTCTTTCTGCCTTCAGAATCCAATAAATATTGAATATTCAAAGAAAAATTATATTTGGCTTCATGATAATTATTATTACTCTTGTTTCTTCATCATTAATCCCAGGAGAAATCCCTCTCACCTACCACAAACTGACATAAAACCTGACCAGCTCTTTTAGTAAATGCTCCTGATTTCTAATCTGCTTTAAGCAATTAAAATTAATTGATTTTGATCAGTGCAGACAGACGCAATCATGAAACAAGATGCAATGAAGAATTATCAAGCAGCCAGGCAGCTTTCCCAAAAAACACTTTTAGGATAGGGTTGGGAAGGTCTGGGACTTACGAATATTGGCTGGTTTCGTTGTGCCCAACATCTGGGGAATGCAGCTTCTGGACTAAGATACGGATGATGCAGATGAAGAGGATGAAGTTCACCTGTGGAGATGGGAAGAGAGGGGTAAAACATCAGCATTCTACTCCAGGGAAAAGAGCCCATCACTAGAGAAAAACTCCTCTCACTGGAATGGTTTTTGCCATGGAAGGAGCTGCTGTTTAACAAGCCATGAGCAGAGAGAGCCCCTTCTCTGGGGCAGGGAGCACATGGAAAACCGACACAGGATGATGGCATCTTGGGCCTGACATCAGCCTGCTTGGGACTTCGTGTCATACATCCCAAGTATGATGATGTCAAGCCCATAGAGCACAGCTTTGCACGACGTCCTGGAGCGCGCGCGGGAG